TTTTTTTAATATTTATTTGAGAGAGAGAGAGAGAGCGCCCATGAGAGGGGGGAGGGTCAGAGGGAGAAGCAGACTCCCTGCTGAGCAGGGAGCCCGATGCGGAACTCGATCCCGGGACTCTAAGATCATGACCTGAGCTGAAGGCAGTCGCTTAACCAACTGAGCCACCCAGGCGCCCCAGAATTCGTATATTTTAAGGTCAGAAAGAAATGCTTTCCTTTATATTAACTTGTCTATTTCAAATAAAGAATCTATGAAATCAAGTGCATGGGCTGATTTGTGATTTTTTTTTTTTTTAATAACTTGTTACCGGTGATCCAAGGTGCTGTGTGGACGGGCGACAACACAGCAGAATGGAGCTACCTGAAAATTTCTATCCCTATGTTACTCACCCTCAGCATTACTGGGATCTCTTTTTGCGGAGGTAAGATGATATCCACAGGCTTGAAGTGAGAGAAAATAAAAAGCGAGGGTGTTTTTCCGTCAAGCCTGGTCATAAATGCCTTCTCATTTGCGGTTTCAGGCAGGGATAACTGCAGGAACAAGAAAATGAGGAAAGTGAAAGGACGCTTCCAAGCAGTTTGTGTGTCTGAAATGCGGACTTGAAATAAAGTCATCAGAGAGCCCGAGTGCTTCTTTCCCTCTTTCTCTGATTCCTCCTTAGATGCTCTTGAGAACTGAGTTTCTCTTCCTGAAACATACCTTTTCTTCTTCCAAGTGAGAAAAATGAAGAGTACAAAGAATTTAGCAAATCAGAAATCAGCCTTACAGATAAGCTTTTTACTCAGGAGGTTTAAAATTCTATGACATATTTTAACTTAAAAAAAAGATACGCTCTTGGGAAAGATAAATTTAGTTAAAATATGATTTCCTGATGGGCTGCCTTCCCTAAATCCTAGTAATTCTCTGCAGATGAGAAATCTCAATATGGAGGCTGCTCAGCATGACTAGTTCCAGCTGTTCCTTGTTTTCGGTAGGAATAGAAGCAAGTTAACGTCAAAAAAAAACAGCAAGTTAATGTCACTTTTTGATAGATGTGTTTCTTATGGCATTGGTCCACATACAAGGAATATGTATCCTGCTTAAGGACTAAGCATGAAATTACACCTAAAGCTCTAATTCTGATTGTTTTTCTTTAGTTCTACAATTTTTATCTTGCTTGAGCTGCTGCTTTCGAAAAGAAATAAAGGGGCGCCTGGGTGGCTCAGTCCGTTAAGCATCTGCCTTCGGCTCAGGTCAGAGTCCTGAGATCCTGGGATGGAGTCCCACCTCCAGCTCTCTGCTCAGCAGGGAGCCTGCTTCTCCCTCTCCTTCTGCCTACCGCTCCCCCTACTTGTGCTCTGTCAAGTAAATAAAATCTTAAAAAAAAAAAAAGAAAGAAAAAATCAATTGTCAACCCCCACCACATGGCTAAACACAGACTTAATGAATCAGGTCAACATTTTGCAATTTCTGGGTTTGGGAACATACAGAAATGTTGATCTTGTAGTAAAACCTTTTTTTTTTTTAAAGATT